GCAGCAACGCGGAAAAGCGCATTCGATAGCTCTTTCAACGTTCTTTCGCCAAAGTAGTCCTCAGATTTGACCTCAGGTCAACGGCTTAGCATAAATTCTCCAGCAGAGGGCAAAAACTCCAATAATAGCCACTCATGAAAAAGTTTTTTTACTGCCATAGCTTTTTACTCGAGAAAGTCATGACATTTATTTTGCCAGCCATCATGTTCTTATTATCAAGACGCGTCGAATAAACTGTAGTTAGACCTTGAAATTTCATTTTGAAATTTGACCCCGGGTCAAGTTCAAGACCTGACCGGAAAAGGTTATGTTGCATGTCAGTCGATCCGTTCAGTCGATCATCGCTCTAGCATGCGCCTACCAGAAGTTATTAACGAAAAACTGTTAGGCTCCCTTTTGTGACCTGAGATGACCTCAGGGATATAAGAAAGGGTCACGTCATTTTCACGTCGGGTGTCATTTTCCAGTTCAGTGTGTCATGTTGAATTGTTTATAGGTGTTTGGAAGTGTTCAGAATGGTGTCCGTCCAGAAAAAAACGCACTTTAATTTCCTTCCACTGACACTGATGATAGATGTCGGACTTTCGTCCCCGTCTTGAGGTGAGATGTTCGTTTGTCTGGCCGCTATGTCTGCCTCGAGCGGTGGAGTATTAGTTACAACTTACAACTGTCGCCTATCACCGGGGCAGCCCGAGATCATTTCCCGCTGACCACAGGACCTTTCGATAAGGTATGACGCGTTCGGCGCAACGCCACCAACACCCAAGAGCTTTCTACGGACCAAAGAACAACTGACGACAGCCGGAGAAGTAACTGGCCGAAATATTGTGAAACTAACATCTCAACTCAAGACGGAAACGAAGGTCTAACAACTAGCATCCGTGATACTAATGCCTCGTATCAAGCATTCCGAAGAATTATCCCATGGACTTAGAGGTAATGGGGAGGTGGCAAAATTGACCTGACCTTAGGTCACCGGTATCGAAGTTTCGAGATATACATTTTGTACAAACTGTTGGCCTTATCAATCGGTGAAATTTTCAAAGCAATCAGCCACTCGGTGTGGGTATGACAGACATTGGTACTTCAATCGTTATTCGTGAAAAAACTGTCTACCTTAAGCGCCGCTATTTTGACTTGTTTACCATGTGACGTCATTTTTTACCTGACCTGAAAATGACCTCAGTAAAAATTGTAGACTTTGTCCTTCTGTATCCCATGCCATTTACTGCTTGTTTCTATCTTGCTTCGTTCTCGAGATATCACGGGGAGCAGGTATCCGCCCCCCCCCCCCCCGTCGGTGTGACGTTGGCGCGGAATGCGGATCCCCGTTGGTGCGCGGGTTAAACCATGATATTTCGGACCAAGAATATCTCGTTACTCAAAGCAAAACTTTAGGACGTCCGGAACCGAAAACCCATTGACGCGGCACGAATGCGTCGATGGCTACCAAATGCTGCTGTCTGGTATAAATAAAGCGAAAAATTGTGTCCATTTTTTACAGCGCATTCTGATGTACGGTAATTAGAGCAGGGCCGCGGGAACTTCTTTCAGACTGGGGGGGGGGGGGGCACACCATAATTGAAACCAACCAAGGGTACCCCGGCCCCAAACCTAGTTTCCTCGCCGGTTTTAGGTCACTTATTTTTCATCCCTTGGCGTTTTCATCAAAAAAGAAAACATTTGCAAAAAAGTGCGATATTACGTCTTAGGTAAAGCTGTGGAGTCACCGCCCCCACGGCCCCAGAGTTGGGGGGGGGGAGGGGGTAAACTGTCCCCCCCGTTCCCGCGCCTATGAATTAGAGAAAACAATGCGTTCAAAGAATCGTAACAGTGATGCCAGTACCAACTTTGGTTGTGGGTGCCCAGAGCCCCTTGGGGGGTGCCCAACTCAGCATTGGGGGTGCCCGGGCACACCCAAAAGTATACAAATCGACACCTATGAGCCTGAATGTCTTTTTAGAGAGCCCGGAGTGTTACTATAGCGTTGCTTTTAATCCGATTTTTTTCGATGCTATTGAAGCTCGTTTTTCAGGTCTTGGTCCTAAATGCTTTTCTATCCAAATTCAATTATCACATTGTTTACTGGTATTGGATTTACTAGACCCGTATGCGGTGTACATACACCGTAGGTGTCCAAGGCTGCATCCATCTTACGAGTAACTGTGGCCTGTAGCGTGTCATTTTCACATGTTAGTCGAATAGCCGTGTGATCCGGAAAACATCCCGATGCAGCGAGTGCTCTGCACGCCAGACTGAGTTTCGCATTACACCGGTGGAGCTGAAAAAGAAGCGCGCTACCGTCGGTCGGCGGCAGCGACAGGTATCTCGGCGGTGACAGACCTGCGGTCGTCGACGACAAGGAAAACGGCGGCGACGACCGGCGTCGCGGCCCGGAAACGACAGCGGCGAGCGCTACCGGCGGCAGACCGGGCGCCTTTTCTGACACACTGTTTGCGTGTGAATTGGGTGACGCTTTTTCCCCGACTAATTCACTTTCAGGAAGCAAATGCGATTGGGCGAAAATTGCAACCGCAAACTTGAACCTTTTGCCAGGTTTAGTTGACAGGAGTCGACGGACCGTGCAAGACAGCGCACGGTGGCAGAACTTGTCATGTAAGCGATCAATCAATGAAGGTTAGCTGCTCCAGACATTGCTACATTTTTCACAAAATAGGGCAGGTACACATAGCTGGCTCCAACAGGAGTCCGTTGACATGGAGACCTGGCATTGTTTGTGTGCTTGTTTCCCGTTTTGAGATAGAGGGAAGGGAATGATGTTTTGTAACGGAAAAACGATGTTCACAAGTACACATTCTACATGTTTAGAGCATATTTCTTTGCTATCGAAAATGAGGTAGGTGTATTCCCTTGGTAGGCATTTAATTCGTTTGCTTTTATGTTTCCACTATACTAGTGCTGCGCAGTATATATTAGATGGTTCCTGTGAAGTCCAGCCTCCAGGTCCATCTGTCGGCGATCGCCTTTGAATTCCCGGGCGGCCCTTCATCTGGCCGGTCAGATGCCGTGTCACTGCTGAGTAGCGCCGCTGGACTCGGCAGCTGTGCCGACGCAGCCGCGCGCCTGTTTGTCTCACTCCGTCTGATCGCCGATTCCCAGTGATTCGGCCGTGTGAAGTCGCCGCGCTGCTGACTGCGTGTCGGTGACGACTCAGCCGCCCCGCCCCCGCCCCCGCCCGGGCAGAGTGTGCGTGCGTCAGCATACCGGCCGGTGCCGGCGGCGGCGGCGGCGATGGCGGCCGGCGCCGGTCTGAGAGGCCATTGCGCCGCGCGCGCTGCGTCTGAATTGGCCCGACTCGGCACGTCCCTCGGGATGAGCCCATTGTGCGCGGCCCTCGGGCGGCCCTCGGGCGGCCCTCGGGCGGCCCTCGGGCGGCCCTCGGGCGGCCCTCGGCGCCACTCGAGGCGCGCTCCCCAGTCTGGAGAGCACGGCCGAGCGGCACCGGCGTCCGGAATTTAATTGTGCCCGCAGCCGGAGGGAGCGAAATACAGTCAGCGCGCGGCGCAGATATATCTCATTTTGAGACGGACCGGGCGGCGTGGGCTGTCGGGCGTGGTCCGATGTTCTCATCAACATGCTACGAAATATTTCATTAGATTTCGCGCTCGCCTGGGTGGAAATGACGCACGCTATATGGAAAATGAAGGTGGTTTATTTGGAACATCCCAGCTGTTTTCTTATTATTGCTCGGAGCGGCACAAAACACATTCAAGTAGTGATTCAAATTTCAAACATATTCAAGTAGCATTGTTGTGTAGTTCCCATGCTACACCTTTATTTTTACGTACTAATATTAATTTCCTTTGCTGAGCAGAAACCGTGCTAGTGGGCAACTCCCCCCCCCCCCCCCGTCGCTGCCACTCTCAATCAACTCATGAATGATCTGTCAGTATGCCCTACAATACCTTCACACGGTTTGGTCTGTGAGTTCTAATAAAAATTGGGACTCACAGCACCGGAAGTCCCGTATGACTACCCGATTCAAACCCAGCAAATCACACCGTTTCCAGGAAGCGAACCATTGTTTTTCTGAGTGAGATATTGAACGTTAACATCTGTTATGCTGCAGACCGTATGAGTCTGTAACACCTGTATCTAGTGCGCAGTTCATGCTTAGTTAGGTTGGTCTGTTCTTAAATATGCCTAATTGTCGAAGCCTGCCGTTGTCATCGCCACCGTTTTACCGTTATTTTATATCGATGCGGACTCGCCAGTTCGCTGCCTTTGCGGGATCTGCTGGTATTTGACATTGATGAATTAGGTATCTCTGTCAGTGTCGAATTCCTCCCTCCTTCCGAGCCGTTCGACCTCTGAGCCGCACAAGTATTTGCATCTTGATCCTTTGGTGTTCCGCCTTTAAAGTAAGGTGATTTGTGAGACAGCCTTCGTTTTCCTATGGTGACGACATATTCTCCAGAAATGAACTCCGGTGAATTCCAAGCAGCAAAAAAATGCGTCATTCATATTCGGTGTTGCATAACATGCATTGCATTTCTGAGCAAAGCCTGCGCCTTTTTAGCATACATCCGCCTCTAAGCCCAGTCCTAAGGAATAAGGGCCCCCTTATTCCTATTTCGTAGACACGCTCCCTATGATGAGGCAGTGATATCGGCCGAATATGCACGTTCGATGTCAGCCGCGCTGACTTCGTGATATCCTGCTGGACTGTGTGTGTAGAATAAGTAACATAAAATACGGCTTTTTAATGCCGATCGGCTTTATTAGTTAGGCTGAAAAGAAAGTGTGCGTTGAACTTGCCAAACGTCCTTAGTCCCGCCGTGTCCCCAGTGCTTCGTACTCTGAATCTCGCCGTGACCTGGGATTCTGCCATGTCCCATTACCCCGTGTCCCAAGTCCGCCGGGTCGCGGGTCCGGTGTGATCCCGGTCCGTCGTGATCTGCTCCCACCGTGCTCGCCGTGCGCTGAGTCCGCCGTGCCCCGAGTCCGCCGTGCGCTGAGACCCGCCGTGCTCCCGGCAGGATGACGATTCTGGCCAGTCGGGACCACACCTGCATCCATCCGGACGTGTCGCGCTCGGCCAACAAGAACGACGGCTGCCGCGACCTGCGGGACCCGCACAACCAGGTGTGTGCTCCGTGTGGGCCGAGTGACGAGCAGGCGGGTGTGGGCAGCTAGCACGGATGTATAATTATCAGTGCGTGTGTGATCTCATGTATGATCAGATGATGTACCTATACTGTGACCGATTTAATGTTAGTAGATCCATGTTGTGATTTCAGATGCCTACAGATATCTTTCCAGAACTGGAGAGTTATCGGTACTTCACTTCTAGTTAATTTGTTCTGTGCTTCAGCAACCTGTCGTCTGCCGCTCTCCCGCCGCTGACCTAGTCGTACCTATGTCCCTAGGAGGGCTCGTGCGGCTACTTCACGCGGGCCAACCAGCGTCTGCGCTACCAGGAGCAGTTACCCGGGGAGGGTCTGTCGGAGGCCTGGTCGCTGGAGGAGCTGGTCGGTCTGGGCCGCCGCATCCGCGCCTGTCCCTACTACGCCGGCCGAAACCTAAAGGAGGACGCCGACATCGTGTTCTGTCCGTACAACTACCTGATCGAGCCCTCCATAAGGGAGTCAGTAAGCAGGGAGGGAGAGACAGAGACAGAGGCGGAGAGGGAGAGACAGAGAGAAAAAAGATAGACAGAACAGAAACACAATCAGAAGCTGTGAACAATGCAGATGTCAATGGTTATGTTATTGTCATCGTTGTCAACGTCATCGTTAAGTAATGAAGATGTTGAGGTTTTAAATGATTTGAAGTTTTGTCCACACCTGACGCATAAATAGGTATATGAGAGCATTTTTTAGCACATCACGTGTTTTCTGAGGATTTGTCTTTAGGTGCCACGATATGCTGTTGTTTTCTACTCCAGTGCCGATGGTAGCTGTCAATTACCGTTGATTACTCTTTAACGGAGCCACCGCCGCCCGTATCTCCAACCCAGATGGAGATCAGCCTCAAGAACCAGGTGGTGATTTTGGACGAGGCGCACAACGTAGAGGACAGCTCGCGGGAGGCGGCCAGCGGCTCGTTCCAGCAGGCGCACATCCAGGACGCCATTCGCGACCTGGAGAAGGCCGCCTCCGGACAGCGGCAGACCCAATTCGAGTGCAGGGACATGGTGAGATACAGTCAGGCGGACCCAGCTCGAGTTAGTGCAGGGATATGGTGAGGGACAGGGAGATACAGCTCGAGTTAGTGTAAGGATATGGTGAGGCACAGCGGCACGCCCAGCTCGAGTTAGTGCAGGGATATATGGTGAGGAGGTAGGATGGCAGCAAGGGAGGGAGTGTAAAGTTTGGGGGCATGAAAACTGTGACAAGCGTATTTGGTGCTGTTCGAAGACTTTTGTATGTTGTTATGTTCGCTGTTTTCCCCACGTTGGATCAGTGTTATGTTATTTCATTCCACGGATTGTTCAGTGGTTTAATTTGGTAGGGCCGCTCCCTCCCTCCCTGAGGCTGTGACGATGTCCCGCCGTACTCTGCCTGTCTCAGATTTTGTCCCTAACTCGGCAGGCCCGGATGCTGTCTCACATCAGCCAGTGGATGGACCGGCACTCCGACCGGCTGGACCAGTACAAGGAGTTTGACAGGGGCTGTCGGGTGTTCAGCGGAACAGAGATGGTGGCCCACTTCACCGCCATGGGCATCGGACACAAGGAGTTCCCAGATATACAGGTTAGGACACGAGGCCTCCCTCTATAGATACAGATTAGGACATCAGTAATTCCTGATCTACAAGTGAGGGCACGAGGAATTACCAGATCATACAGGCGAGGACGCGATACTCTCCCCGATATATATGTACGTGTTAGACTAGACACCCAATGCCTCCCGCTATACACGGATGAGGTCACGACACGCCTTTTCCGAGAAGATACAGGTAAAATGTGTGGAGTGTCATTCGTGTGTTCAGTTAGGCGCCCGTCTTGTCCTTTTCAGGTGCTCCGAAGGAAATAGTTACACCAGAAACTGCATCTGAATTAAACTAACTAAACAGGTGCTCGCATCGTAAACATTCAAATTTGATTACCCACTGAAGTGAAGTAATTCGATTATGGACATTTCTTTCTTTTATTTAGCGGGGATCTAGGAGGATAACGTCCGAGATGGGATGGTTATTCTCATGAAAAGAAGAAGGAAAAATAACGTATACCACCAACGTCTGAATGAACGGATACCACGTACACGTAATATTCCTACGTTCCAATGGTTGAAGGACTCGACACACCCACAATGTGGGTGTGTTGAGTTGTCGCCTGCCCTTTGTTATAGCCCTGTTATTCCCCGTCGCCGTTCTATCGTGTTCACTTTCACCCGTGCACCGCCAGTTACCGACCGCCAGTGTCGGGGGAGTGGCCAATGGCCGCTCACTCTGTATCCGCACCGGCTGAGGTCCCGGCGATAGGCCACAATGGGGTCCCATTGTGCTCCAATGACCACGGCCTTCCCGTCCGAGTGATTTACGGGTCACTGGCACGGGTATTCTGCTGAGTGATTATGCTCCTTATTATTCGATTTCAGCACCAATAGTATCGGATTTGAGGTAGCATTCGGACTATTGGAAAGTGTATAGCGGACTGCAATCAAAACTAGTTAATAAACACGAAACCTCAACATAGTTTCGCACTGAAATTGAGATGATTCTCTTATGTGTATTTGTGACCATTACAGCATACGAAACCCAACAACCAACCAATTAGTAATTACTGTATGCATGTATTATTTGTTCTGCGCCATGTAGCGCGTATTCCCAGCCACCCTGAGCTCTCAGCCGTCAGCACGCAGCGTCCGTAGGCAGCACTCCTGATCGCTGACCTGTTCACGTCTGGTGTGTATGCGGAGTGTTCGTGACGGAGGACTTATACCATTTCGTCTAACATCTCCGTTCCGTGTCTGCATAGCGTTCTACCTGAGCTTCATTGACCTCGATGTTCCGTCACATTCACTGGATGTCTTCTGATAGTGCTCCTGCTGAGCTTCCCTGACCCCTATATTCTGTTTTACCCTGACCTCTGTTCTGTCGCCGTGCAGCGTTCGTTCGGCGCCATCTTTACTGAGGAGATAGTTGGTCCATCCGTCCTGAAACCTCTGCTGTGTCCACGCAGCGTTCGTTCGGCACCATCTTTACCGAGGAGGTAGTTAGTGCAAATCCTGTTGTGAGACCTGTGCTCTGTTGCCACGCAGCGTTCGTATGGCGCCATCATAGCGGAGGAGATGGACAACTCTGAGGAGGCGCTGCAGCACTACATCCAGCGACTGACGAGCGGCACCACGGCGCTGCTGGGCGGACTCGTCCGGGAGCTCTCCTTCATCTACCAGGACGACATGAAGTACCGCGACGACTTCCGCGTGGCGCTGATGAAGTCCATGAGCCGCGCCGACGGACCCGGACAGCGGGTAGGAGGGATACTGGATACCTACCGGATAGTGGATAGTGGTCTGGATAGCGGATAGGACCGGCAGGGGTGTGGGTAGAGGGGTGGGGTAGAGTGGTTATTTTTACGCAGCGGGGGAGGGCTGAGAGGAATTGTCACTTGTCAGAGTCAGTGAGAATGGCGCGGAGAGTGTTGGTGATGAGGGTTGAGGTCGAGTGTTTGGTGTTGGGAGCTTTTATTTTCTGTTTTCGTTTGATTATGACATGGTAACAACTTACAATCAATTATGTATTTGTTTCACATGCATCCTCACGCTTGCTATGTTAGACTGATCTCTATTTCATTTGGCTCTTACCATTCTCTATTATAAGTTCGCTCGGTCGCCAGGGCGGTTGGCTGAGCTCGCGGCGCAAGTCTGCCGACCCGACGTGGACGCATACGCTGCACTTTTGGTGTATGAACCCGGCCGTGGTGTTCGGCGCCATCGGGGAGGCGGCGCACAGCGTGATCGTCGCCTCGGGCACCCTGTCCCCGCTGGGCTCGTTCCAGTCGGAGCTGGGCGTGCCGTTCCCCATCAACCTGGAGGCCAGCCACGTCATCAGCGCCGACCAGGTGAGCGCGGTGAGAGAGTGAGAGCGGTGAGAAGTTGAGAAAGGGTGAGAGCGGTGAGAGGGTCGAGAAGGATCGGTGGGGGACCTACATCGGAGGTGTGGGTTTTACGCCGTGTCAAGGTCGTCAATGTCACGACATCTGGGTTGACGATATATTCTATCGAGCACAGCCATGCCTTGTGCTTTGTAGCTGCCCATCTGCCCGTCAACCGTCCCACCCCTTCCTCGTGTAACTTGGGGCCTTTGTTTAAATAAGCCAACCATTACCCGGTGTCTCCCTCCATCCCGTCAGGTATACGTCTCGGCCATCAGCCACGGGCTGAAACTATCGCGTATGACACAACTGTACATACCTGAGTGTCGAGTGCAGACCATCACCCGGTGTCTCTCTCCACCCTGCTCAGGTGTACGTGTCAGCCATCAGCCACGGTCCGCGCGGCGGCTCCATGAACGCCACCTACCGCAACTCGGAGCAGTTCAGCTTCCAGGACGAGCTGGGCGAGCTGCTGCTGGGCGTGTGTGCCGCCATCCCCAACGGTGTGCTCTGCTTCTTCCCCTCCTACAGCATGCTGGACAAACTCGCCAGGAGGTCAGCTATGCTCGGGGCACTGAACTGGAGCTGTCCAGGCCCGGGGAGGGGGGGGGGGGCGGCTCGACTGATCCACAACATTTTTCTACTGAACCTTGTTTTTTTACGTTTTAGTTGACAACGTGCGTCCGGAACGGGAATATTGCTGCCTGTTTACATTAAGATTATGAGAATCGTGCTAAGTAATAACCATTATAGAATTTTGGCTTTTTAATCACATTTTTTGATAGTGAACCTCACACTCCAGTTGAGGACGTCGGTCACTGCTCAATCACCGCTCTTCCAGCAGAGTTGTACAGCATTTTATCAGTATCCCGTTCTGTCCGACAGATGGCAGATGACGGGTCTGTGGGACCGACTGGAGGCCCGCAAACCGGTGCTCTGCGAGCCACGGCGCGCCGACGAGTTCGAGGATATGATGCGCCAATTCCGTCACCTGGTGACGGAAGGAGACGATACTGGCGCACTGCTGCTGGCCGTCTGCCGCGGCAAACTCAGCGAGGGCATCGACTTCTCGGACGACAGCGCTCGGGCCGTGGTCACGGTTAGTTTAGGGAAGCCCAGCTATTATTAAACGTTATTAAGGGAGAGATGATAGTAACGTGATCATGATTGATTGAGAAAGAGGCCAGTCGCGCCCGCGATGACCTTTCATTTTCTTATTTGTTCCATGGCTCTTCTGTCCTCGTCTCTCGTCTAATCCGTTTGCTACTTTCGTCCACCCAAGCTCTCTATCGCTCTCCGAGTCGTTCGCTGCTCTCCCTGAGTTGTGTGTCACTCTCTCCCTGATTCCCCCATCACTCTGTCTCCCCAGGTGGGCATCCCGTTTCCGAACGTCAAGGACGTTCAGGTGGACCTGAAGAAGCAGTACAACAGCTCGCACGTCTCCACGCGCGGCCTGCTGAGCGGACACGAGTGGTACGGCATTCAGGCCTACAGGTGAGATACCTTTGGCATGCAGGAATACAGTTGAGGCATAGCAATATAGCATGGCATTCAAGCGTACAGGAGAGATACATTACATCATTCAAGAGTACAGGCGATGCGACAGGGTACGGGATACAGGCCTACAGGTGAGCTGTAGAATGTCAACCAATAATTCAGGTAAGCAGGTTGCTCCATATAGCTGAGCTATGTTGAGCTCTCGCATGCGATACCGTAGATGAATTTACAGTAAAAGCTGAAACATTTTTCATCTTCCATGAATTAACGCTGGTGCTAGTATGGGTATGTAATATGCATGCGGTAACCGGCCTGTTTCTCGACCCTACCAGTGTGCTTTTTTCGGTCTCTCCTCGACCCGTCCCCAGACCGTTTCTGTTGGCCTGCAGGGCGCTGAACTAGGCGCTGGGACGCTGTATCCGCCACCGGTACGACTGACCGCTGTGTGTATAAAATGAGTGTTTCTGTTGGCTCACAGGACGCCGAACCAGGCAGGCGCTGGGTCTCTGTATCCGCCACCGGTACGACTGGCTGCTGTATGACGTATGTCTGTGTGTTTCCACTGACAGGGCGCTGAACCAGGCAGGCGCTGGGTCTCTGTATCCGCCACCAGTACGACTGGCTGCTGTATGACGTATGTCTGTGTGTTTCCACTGACAGGGCGCTGAACCAGGCGCTGGGCCGCTGTATCCGCCACCGATACGACTGGGGAGCGATCTTGCTGGTGGATGACCGGTTCGGCCGGCCGCGCGGCGTCGACGGCCTCTCCAAGTGGGTGCGCAGCCTGGTGCGCCACCAGAGCAAGTGGCCGGAGGTGGCCGACAGCCTGAGACAGTTCGCCGCCGACATGCAGCACTGGACAGAGGAGAGGCGGGAGGAACAGAGGAAACGCAAACAGGAACAGGAGTGAGTGGGGAGCGGGAGCAGCTAGAGTGAAGGGAGAAGGGAGGGAGGGGAGAGTGGGAGTGGAGGGACTCGGTGGAAGGGCTGAGGAGACTCAGATAGGGATTCTCCACCCCGCCAGCCATGCTCCTTTGTAAGCCTGACGCCCCCCCCCCCCCCACAGCGCTGCCGAGGCGGAGAAGCTGGCCGCCGCCGCCGCCGCCACCGCCACCGCCGGTCCGGTTCCTGCCATCGATCTGAACCTCTCTGGCGCCTCCTCTCCGATGTCCGTGGTGAACGGGCAGTCGCCGGTGGCGGCGCCGGCCGTCAGCGCCGCGCAGGCGCAGTTCCAGTACGGCAGTCCGCCGGTAGGTGTCGCCGGCGGCGCTCGGAAGCTGGTGCTGGTCCCGGTGAACCAGTTCGCCAGCTCGGCAGCCGCTCAGCGTCAGGAGGTGATCACGGTGAACGGTCGGAAGTACCTGCGGCTGACGGAGGATGGCCGGACGCGGCTGGTACCGCTGCTCACCAGTCAGGGCACCCCGGTACTGGACGGCGCGGCGGGGTCTGAGCACGGGGACCAGCCCGGAGCGGACGGTAGTGCGGCGGACGGCCGGCAGGCGGCAGCACCGGCGGAGGAGCGGCCGCCGCCGTCCGGCGCCGCCCCAGCGGATAAGGAGAACGGCCGACCTCAGTCTCCGCCGCTGTTTGGGGAGGACGAGGGAAAGTCCCCGCGCCAGGTGGTCGTCTGTTCAGGTGAGCGGACAGCGGGATGCTGCATCTCCTTCAAAAGACAATATTAAACTTGTATTTTGTCCTGAGTTCAAACTACACAGTTTTAGGTAATTATCTGACGTGTGTTTCCGTTCCCCGCAGCAGCCGGCAAGAGGCCGCTGTTTAAAGAGACGCCCGTCGCCCCCTCCGCCGTCACAGCACAGGTACGTGACCTGCGTCGACCGCATGACGTTCTCACACCTCACTACCGGCTCTACCACACAGTTGGAATCGATTTATGGGGGTTTACTTTATTGGGTCCTTCCAGCCTACAGCGACCATTTCTTGGCGGTCAGGTTCAGGGTACCATTTCTTGTGCGCCTGATGGTACCAGTTAACGACCTCTTATATGTGAAATATAGGAACAAATGGTGAAAACATCATGATCCTTCATTTAATGACGCAAGGTAAAATAGGAGGACATTGAGCTACGACAGGTACGATCCTCATTGCTCGTGTCTCCTCTATCGTCTCATCATACTCAGGCAGCTTTTGCCAAATTGTCAGGGAACTCGGATTTGTTTTTCAATAGAAAAACACAATTCTAACGAATAGTGTTATAACTATTGACAACAAACCTTCGGTTATAATCACCAAATGGTACGCCGCAGTGGCTGAGTCCGTTCCGTGGGATAGGACACCCTGATGGAGCTGGAACTAACCGATCACGCCGGGAGGGGCGTGCTCCTATTGGAGCTGCCTCCAGCATCTGTCTGCTGGAGTGACTGCTAACCCCAAAGCAGGGATGGGTGATCAAGGACGAGCATCTGCAGCTATAGTCAGGAGGGCGAGGAAAGACTCTGTGACCAATATTGTCGCTGGGAGTCTTAGTGAGTGTGGGCGTCGGTGTTGGTAGTGGATTATTAACAAAGTACTCTTCGCCGCACTTCATACCAATCACGGGCATATTACCAAACAATTTATATTTCTGTCGGTTATCTACTGTACATGCTAGCCATATTGTTATCCATGATTCCTAACGGACTGTGTGTCCGTCCGTCTCCCAGGCGGACAGCCAATCACCGGAGCTGGTCAGGAAGACGGTGCTGCCACCCCGCGGCTCGGCCGCCAAACAGCGCAGCAAGCGCTCCAAGGGAGTCATTTTCATCAGCTCGGACGAGGAGGACTTTCAGTGATCACGTGACCGTGGGGTTATATATGTGATTTCACGCTGTGGCACGATGTATGAAGGGCTAATGATTTTTTATCACGAACTGCAAGCTGCCTGAAATAATGTCTCATATGACTGCTTTGCTATGAAAATACAATGTAGATACGCTTGTAAGATTGCGTCTGATATGGATAATCATAGGCGAAGGGCTGTCGGATGTTGAGTGTTGGGAGGTTCTAATATCGAGACCGCTATCACCCTGAAGTGGTTTTAGTTCCATACCTTTTCCTGGACGTCTGTCTCGATGGGCGCTCTGACATGTGATCACTGATCGGTTTCGTCCAGCTACCCCCGCCCCCCCCCCTCCCTTTTACGACTTCCAGCAGCTGTCTAATGCAGTAGGGAATGTCCTATCGTCTATTCCGTCTGGTCGGTCAGCCCCCGGAAGCGCCCTCTGCGTTGCTGTACTGTACAAGGTGTCGCCTGCGTCCTGCCGGATTGGCTCCGCCGGCGGAGATCGGAGGTCAGAATATCACGGCGTTACTGCATTACCAGCTGTATGAACGCACTGCATGAGTGGTGGCGAGGCTTTAACGGCGATATTGATGGAGGATTATCCTGTCAACAGGCTCACCCGGGACAGTCAAAGCGAGTATTGTTATTTGGGGAGGAGAAGAGCTGGATTGACACTGCCCTTGCCGTTTTTCATCGGTTTACCATTATTTACTTCTTTCATCCCATCTATTGTTTCGGTTGTCATAGCACAAGCCACAATGGCGTACGATATCGATAACGATAAAACAACTTAAATTATTTGTGCAAGAATGTGCTTTGCCGCTCATATTCAGGACCGTGAGTGATTGACAGGTCGGGATTTCCCATTTACTCCGGTACGTTCCTTTAGAAGCTATTCGAGCAGCGTACGGTGTGTTGCTGAGCTCTGTGAAATCACGCGCCCTCCGCAGCACCCCGGCTGACGTTCTGAAGGGTCCGTTTGCCAATGGAGTCCCGCTGCCGGGCCGGTACTGGAGCTACCGGGCCCAGCCGACGGTCGACAGGCAATGCACCCGAGGTGTCGGCTGCACCCACAGGCTGACGGGATATGTATCGAGGTGTCTGCTGCAGAGCTGGCCAGGGACGGGCCGGTTAGTGGACCGATCACCCATTCTACCCCATTGGACGTTACCTGTGGGCAGTACGGGTCTGATTCGCTGACGCTTCTATTGGACCGCATGGATGTGATCTATTTGATACCACTGGACGATATGGATCCCGTTATTTATGCGGTCCCACGGGATGGTTCGGACTTCGGGTCTGATCCTTAGGACGGTACGACGGGTCTACCCCGCTGAACGGTCCCATTGGACACAGTGCGCCGGCTCCGTGTCAGGTGGCGGTGCCCGGCGATGCGGGTTACATACGAAGTCATCCGGAGGTCATCACGAGACCATCAGTCGGCCGGCCAGCGTGGCCCCGGGCGTGGCTCTGACAGACAATTTCCTGCCGCTCGGAGAAGAGTTACTCGGGTACGGCCGGGAACGTCCTGTCCCTACCGGCCTGGTCTCTGGAGTCGGCGCCCAGCGGACCCGGTTCAGAGGTTAATTTACCGGTCAGACAACCATACCCGACTGTCAGCCGCAGCTCGGGGCAATCGGCGAGACCATTGTTACAATTTTCAGAAACTAACTTGTTACAGGCTGTTTGACGTTTGATAAATGCGTTGTGGTCTACGAGACTTTCAGATGTTTGACTACGGGGATATTTTGCTGCCTATATCGTAGGCAAACGACATCCTTCTCGTTCTCACCAAACCTTTTCCACCTCAGTCGCTGAGCCAGATTGCCCCCCCCCCCCCGTTTCCGCCCCCCCTGTGGGCTAACAGGTGATGGTGCCGACGCCGGTTCATCTCGGATATTACACAGTACACACCTGACGGCGCCCGCGGTCCGTGTAATATGGTGTCGCACCTGGGGAATGGTCCCGAGCCGCCGCCGGCCGCGGCCGCAGGTCCGCTGGGCCGGGGCGGAAGGAGGGCAGAGGAGGGAGGGGAGAGAGGATGGAGAGGTCGAGGGAGCCGGAAACAGAGTGAAACTCGTATAAAATATTCTGATTGTTTGATTGTGTTGTTTTGCACCACTGAATGCGATCAATCGCAGGGAAAATATCGCGTTCATACTTCTTTCACACCATGTTGAATGATAACAAAGTCACCATTGCACCGGGTTCAGGAACCGCGGGGCCTTGGGCGGTATGACGGGGGTGCATCCGCTTGACATGCTTGCAGTGGCACTTGGCTAGTGTAGTCCCAGAACAAATCCGAGTTCTTTTGGCTCTTACGGTGCTCGTGAACCCATTTTTATGGTGTCCGGGCGTGATTCATTTTTTGCCGGGACTTTGTCCGCTGTTGTAATAATTCAGATGCGGCGGTGGTCGGTGATTTTTACAGTCGCAGTTCCCGGCGTAATACACGGGCCCGCCGCGCCCATAGCTTTTCGCCACACTTGGCCGCCTGAAATGTGTCGAGCAGTGCCGCGCCGTCTGGGTGGATATTTGGGAATGGCCGCGGAATGGTGGGAGCAGTCTGTCCTCTCGCCCATTAATAATCCACTTTAACTTCAAAGGAGCCGCGAAATTGTAACGCTGAATATTCTGATGGCGTTTCTCGCACTTGACACTACATATTTTGGGCGACATCTGCTACAGTTCAAAGTCAGGCCTGTTGACCCTCATCCCACTAAGCCGGGTTATAGGGAGTGGGCATCGCGCTCTTACATCAGTCTTGTTTCGAGTCACATTTTTATGCAACGATGTCTGTATGGTTGAGTCAGCCGCATGTCACGTTCCGTCCAATGAGGCCATTGTAAGACTGTGAATCGGTAGGACAGGGAAAATATTGGGCTGTGACGGTTACCAGTTGGTGCGCCGTTGCTGCTCGGGGTTCTGAGAATTGGGAGGCGAACCCCGAGGGAGCGTTTTCTGACCGCTGAACCGGCTGTCGGGAGGGAGGGAAGTGGGGTGCTACAAAGGAGTTCCTTATTTTCATTCCGATTGTAGGTGACCGTACGGCCCGGAATTCAAGGCGAATGATGGAGGGTAGGGTAGGGGAAGTTGGGGCAATGCCGGAGTTGGGGCAAAGCCGAAATTCGAGATATTTCGAAAACCGTAAGACATGGATGCCACCTGTCAGTGGTGCTCTGAAGCTTAAGTGACTACAATTATCGCATGTTTGTTACGAGTCGTCATTCGGAATACTTCGACTGTGAGGGCGCCAAGAGCGTTTTCAAGGTACGTTTCCCTTGTACTACATGCAGGGTTGTATACGACTCAATCAATAGCAATCAATTCAATCACGACAAATTTGGGAAACCAATCAAATCAATCAAGTCAGAGCAGTTTTCGGGAATTGATTCAATCGACTCAAACGCGACAATGAAAGGAATCAATCAACTCAATCAAACGACTCAAACCAAGACATACATTAGGTTTTTTGCCCCACCAACTTGGAAAAGTGTCCATAGCAGTCTGGTGTACCTACCTACCTACCTACCTACCTACAGAAGAAACATAAAAATATTGTCATTTAAAATTATAGATTGCCATGCAATTCAAAGTTTCTATGTAATAAGGAAGGATACCTAGTGATGGACAGGTGGATCATGATATGAATATTGAGGTTCAATGGGTAGAATTGGAGCAGAAGTTTCATTTAATGGGTGCAAAATAACCCAGTAGTTGACTCGCCCCTTAACCCAAATCACCACCTTTCACCTAAAAGTTGTCAATTTAATTTTGGCCATATTCCAACTCCATTTACACTAAATATCAGATATTGCAGTTGAAAGTTGGCTGCTCGAATTTTGGCAGTGTTCGTGATTTGGCCATTTACCCTACACCATGTCTATTTTAATGGATAATATGCATCAATAACATTTTAACCATAGGGAAATAGAAATAAATATCTTACCTGCATCTGCATGTGACGGTTTCGGTTAGACAGAGACTGACGGGCAGCCTGAAAAATCTTTCCACACAATGTGCATTTGAGACGTGGGATGTTGTCAGATTGGGAAGGAAGAGATCTGAAGTATTTAGCGGTCCACGACTCTGGACGTGGCAGGTCAATGTGGCATGTCATGTCAATAACAAAGAAAACGTTTTGCCAATAAGTACCTATGCTAAGCTTTTATAAATCCTTATTCTACGTCTTTTGATTTTTTGGTAAGATGACGTCATTGATTATCATGTAGTATGGTAGATCATCATAAAATAAATCGGTTGTACAACACCAATTTCGTTTTAATTATTATTTCATTTAAAATAAAACCACTTAATAATATTCGGTAAAATGTTTTAAGGAAAATGAAATATATTAAATATGTCATGCTTAGGCTCTCAGGAGAAAAGGATTAACAAACGTTCTGCTGCAAATTAAACAATGCAGCAAATTAGCTATTAATTAGGTATGTAACGTAATTAGCGAGACGAAAACGGCGCTTTTGTTTCAGTTATTTTTGTAGGGGTTCACTGAACTCTATGGGTTTCAGATATTTATAGAGTTCAGTGGGTTGTTTCTGAGGAGGTGTGGAGATGTGAATTATTAATTAATCACACTTTCTTAGTATATAGGGCCTTGCACTTTATCATCTGGATTAAAAAAAAAACGTTTCCTGCTGAGTGCAGAAAGGTAGGTAGGTGCATCGCCAGGTTCTATCACCAGGATTGAAGCAGTCATGAGTTATTGCAGTTGAAAGTCAAAGTTGGCTGTTCATGGTTAGGCCCTGTTCTTTATTTGGCCATCTACCCCATATTGCAGTTGTGATGACAAGCAGTTTTCAGTGTAGTTTTGTGATCTTTGATGTCATCAATTGGTGTCATTATTTTTCGTGAACTAAAACTTATTTGAACTTTCCATTCAATCGACTCAATCATACGAGTCACTCTAATTTTCGGGAATCAAATCAGTCAACCAGTCGCTAAAGTCAAACGAGTCAGTCAACCAGTCATCTCGAAAAGTCAATCGACTCAATCCAATCAACTCAAAATACGCGTTGAAACAAATCAATCAATTCAATCGACTTGATTGGTATACAACCCTGACTACATGCGCCTTTGAAGCTGCATTTCTTACTCATTATGCTACTGTTTGTCTGGCCAATTCGGTCAAGTAATCTTTA